GTTAGAAGCATCTTGCTAGACGCGTTCTGCCGAACCTGAATCAGGAGCTATTGGTCATCGATCTCGATAGGGTCAACGACCTCGACGACCTCAAGGACACCACGCTCCCGCATCGTCACATAATCCTTCCAATCATTAAATCCAGCATGTTGCGCCAACAACTTGACGAAATGGACGTCGGAACCAGTTTCAGTGACGTCAACTTCAATCCAAATTCGCCGCAAGTTCGGGAATAGGAGCGTGAACGGCATAGCTAACGGTGGTGGGGAATGAGAACGGTAGGATTTCCAGTCGAACGGGCAACTACACCCTCGTGCGTACCGTGAGCAGCCCCCAAACCCCGTCCCGTTGACCGAATCAAAAAGGAAGGGGTTGTTAACTTGGATAGTTTGTATGGCTTCTAGCTGGGCTTGGTTGCGGTTTCCTGCAAAGGCATCGCGGTGGGAACGGCAGCTCACGACGAACGTGTTGAGTGCGTAAGGTAAGACAGCGGTCTCTGTATAGATCTGGCGGCATACATATGGCAGCACAAACGCGAGCTTTCGGAGTTCTCCAGGCTTGTAGTCATCACCACCATTTTGCCAAATATCGAGTCCGGGGACGTTCATTGATATCTGGAAGCCACCCAGAACTTCCTTAAAGATCATGTTACGAATCTCCGCAGGCAACAAGAGGAGATTCGTCGACGCGTTGTGTTGGGTCCTAGTACATTAGCGTCTGACGTAGCCTTGGAGATAGTACTTACTTGGACAGCAAATGCTCTGGAGTGGGATCCATCTGCACCAGTCCATTCTTCTGGTAAGTAACTGCTGGCGAAGGGCCTCGATAATGAGGGGCAGAGTGTCGAGGATTCGCCATGATTTGAGCCAGCTTGCGCTGACGGTCCAACGCCTTCCAGGCGCCGAAACAATTTGGCATGGCTACTAGATCTGACGGTTAAACGTATGATTAGAAGTACAATGGCCGGTTTGTCAGGTCGTATAGAGCCGATGATGGAGACTGGACAATGGCTACGGTGGTAGTGTAGAACTGTGGTTCCTTCGAGACCGCTTATATTATGATTGGGCAGATTATCAGAGTAGAGACCCGTTCTTTGAACGGCCAGTCACTTTGAGTACTTGCAGGGGAATTGCTCGATATCTGGCTGCCTGGGGACAGCCTCGTTCGGTCACTCACGCCACTTTCATTGTCGAATACGCGCTAATCCTGTCACATATATCACTGCCGTATAGTGAAACAGTTATAATAATACAGCCGGAAACGGATAGGCGGAAGCACTGACCCTGTCTGATGGGTGGCAGTGATGGAGAAGGGTTGATGTGGCAGGAAGCGCAGCAGAATGGACAGTCGGCTGGGGTGTCAGTGGCCGCCCAATCATCATTCGTGTGATGCTGGAAGCGGCCCTGGGGGTGCGCCCGAACCTTCCTGCCCTGCGACATCACTACAACGACATCCAAGCAAGCAGGTTATCTGAAATCTTTAGCAGGATACAAGTAAGACTTGCTGTATTTCTATCAGATATGCGACCTATGTCCCTCTGCAGGTTGAGAACGCAAGCACATGCAGATGAGCTGCGGATGGGAGGCAAATGTGGCATGTAGCTCGCTCAGCCTCTCAAGATGCAGCCTAACCTTTACGTGCTCAGAAAGAATCAGTACTGCCTAATCTGAGAACATGAATGGATGAATACGCTGCTGCGCCCTGTTGGTCTGATAGCTTCATATATCCATGACCAGCACGGAAGAAAGCCAGGCGGCATTCGGTATGCCCTCCGTGCTCTCTCTCCACAAAAATGTCCCCTCTCCGCCGCACGAAGCGACCATCAGGCAAGATGGCTGCAAAGCCTATCTGTCACCTACTCCGCATGCCTTTGGCGATACTTCTCATCGTACTAGAAGACGTGCGTACCTGCACACTTGCTTCACCACAGTTCTCTCTTCTGACTACACCTGTCAGGTTTACGACACTTATCGGGAGGCCTTCTTCAACTTTCGTCTCGTCTCTAAAGCATGTCGCAATGAGTCTCAATACCTGTTCTTCCGCAACTTCACTATCCATGATCGCACCCTCCTTGGGCCGAGTCTGTCATCGCCGATGCTGGATAGGCTCAGGGACAGAGATGATAAAACTGGAGAATATGTCAGGCATCTGAAAATAGGTCCATTCAAGGATGAAGACAAGTTCAAGCTCGAGGTTTTGCCCGTGCTGGAGACTGTTCTGAGGAGCGTCAGTAACTTGCAAGATCTTACCTGGCGTGTGAACTGCGAGCTTCCGCCAGCCCTGCTCAACTTGTTCTACGAATTGCATCCGTCGGCGCATTTCCATTGGATCCTGAAGAATCGCAGATTCCATCCTCTGGACCACAGTCTGCTTTCGTCCCCCCAACTTTACACTCTCGATGCGGAAATTTACGCAACCGTACCCGAGCAGACTGGACACTCCTTGAGTGAGCTTGCCTATATCAAAAACACTGTGCCACCCAGTCTCCGAGTTCTGCGTCTCTCGACTATCGACGTTGATGGCTCTGTCCAGCGTGCGCAGTTCGAAGAATGGGAAACCGTAAAATACGGCATGTTCCATTTCGACTTCCAGCCCGGCGATCAATTTCCTGCGCTCTTGGAGTTGGCCTTGAGGCAGGGCGATTTTGCGTTGACAGAGCAAAACTGCAACTTGTGGGCGCGCGCAACGTCCTGGGAACGCCTGGAACGCTTAGATCTCCCCAACGGCACGTCGCCTCAGTTCATCGCCTCCCTCACCAACCGCGCCATCAATATCAAATACCTCAGATTTCACATCGGCACGACGGACTTCATGATCAGGAGACAATATCGCCCATACAGCGGTGGAAATTGGCTTAACGCCGGCGTTGACACTATGTCTATCATGACAAGATTTCTAGCTTCGATCAAATCTCTCCACACCCTTGACTTCGCGTACGAAGACAACGAGACCCTAATAAGATATTTACGCGTCATATTGCAGAGTCTCCATGGAAGTTTGAGGAGCTTGACCATATCTGACATGGGGGGTTACGATTACTTTCCCATGGACCCCTTACCATCTGGAAAGCCGTATTGGGATCCGGAGCAATACCAAGAGGTGCTTGAGCTAGCACCCGGCTTGGAGCATTTTGATGCGCGGATTGGTACGAGAGACAGTGTTGTGGGGGATTGGGAAGGCAAGGATCGCTATGCAGATGTAGAGAAGAAGTGGAGGACCGCGAAAAAGACCACCGCTCCCTCAAGGGTGAAAATACAGCGGGCCAAGAGAGCGCTAAAGTTGATTGTGTAGACGGCGTCGACGCTTACATGCGTCTCTACGCAGATGAGAAAGTGGGTTCCACGCAGGGCTTTGTGTATCGTTACTGGGCTGATAGTGGTGCCGAGTTCTTTTGCCAACATCGAGGCGCATACCAACGTCTCGGGTTCGTACCGGAGGTATTGGCCGCTTTAGTCTGAGTTGTTCGCATCATCGACAAGACATGCAGTGGTGGCAGTACGGGTTGAGGAAGCGGATAGGGATGTTGTTGGGTTGGGTATCGTTACGAAATGGGAAGGTGGTGGGTTCGTGAACTTCGCGGGGTAACATGCCTGTTTCTTTTGTCAATTCGTCTTGTCCAATACCCAACGAAGCTCGTATAGCGTCCCTCGCTTCTTGAATGCTTGGTGCTTATTGGATTAATCGATACCATGGCAATGCTGGATGTGATTGGGGTTTCAGATCAATGTCCCCGCCTTGTCTGAGACCAAACAGAAAGATACGGCAGAAAAGACACTTGTATTCAGGAGACAGAACGAAATCGATTTCGGCCTTTTCCCAAGCCTGAGGTACTCTATATTGAACGAGCCTGACTATTGCACAGATTTATATAACATTGGATGACTTGACTGGTGGATGCTATAGGACGCTTATGCCTTCTGGACGATCCCTGTTACTTGTTAGCTCATGCCGCACGTTTGAAATGCAATGCCACATACTCTCAATGTCAGTGACGCTCTGGTCAAGGATCTGCTTGAGGGTCTTGGGGTTCTCGAGCTCCTTCTCAATCTTGGCGATGATGGACTCGGCGAGCTCCTTCTGCTGCCTCTGCTTGACCTGGCCCTCGTAGCGGACCCACGAGTCGAGAACGGACTTGGCCTCGGCGGCGATGGCGGTCTTCTGCTCAAGCTCGAAAGCCTGGGCCTCGAGCTGGGCGGTCTCCTGTGGGGTTGTCAGTGTTCGGCCCTTGCATGTCCTCTGCCGTCGCGTCGCACCTTGGAAACCTCGAAGAGGGTCTTGGTGATGTCAATGACACCGCCGAGGTCCTGGACGCTCTCGATGCGCTGCTTGACAGCGGTGGTGTGGTCCTGGCGGGCAGCGTTCAAGATGCCGGAGATCTTGTCGGCCTGCTGTTGCGCATACTCTCCCCAGGCAGGTCCGGCGTACTTGGCAACGGCCCAGAAGATGGTCAGGAGCGAGAGGGCGACAATCGACTCCTCGTTGACGACGTAGAGCTCGTTGCTGATCGCGGCGACACTGAGACCGGCGCCGGCGGAGAGGACGGCGGCCTTGGTGAGGGGGCTGTTGCCGGGGACGGGTATCGAGTCGAGGACGGTCTGGGCCTTCTTCTTGGGGTCCTCCTGGGGCAGGTTGGAGTTGTAGCGGGCCTGGACGGCGATGGAGGGCAGGGCGCGGAGAGGGAGCGATGGGCGGAGACGGGCGGCGCCTATTGGGGTGAGCACGGGGTCAATGGCATCGCAGATTCATCGGGCGGGTGCTACTCACCGACCGCGCTCCTTGCAAGACGTGAGGCCATGGCTGTCTGATGGGCGTGGGGAGTTTGGGGTGCTGGTCGTCGTCGAGAGCTAGCTTTTCGTGATGCTGCGTGAACTCTGAGCCAAGCGCCGATGCCCATGCGCTAGCCGAACTTCGCCCGGCCCGCCCTCACTTTTCGACATCGCCAACTTTTTTGCGCCCGCGAGCAATTCAACTCCACGCCAAGAAATCAGTCGCAGGAAAACATGTCGGGTGCAAAGTCGGCCAGCACGTCTGGTGTCAAGAGGAAGAGGGACCCAAGCAGGCCAGAGCGCGGCGAATCCAAATCGAAGAGCCGGCGCAAATCCCCCAGCGACGACGGCGAAGACATCCAGTCGGAAATTGTACAGCTCGAAGCACAAATCCTCGAATCGCGAAAACACTACAACAACATTGCAACTCTTTTGCAGCGAGCGAGACAGCCAGACGCCGAGAATGAGGGACCAATCCTCGCCGCCGTGGCCCTCTGCCGAGTCTTTTCACGACTACTCGTGACAGGCGACATGGTGAAGAGCAAGGGTATGAGCGAGGCAGAGGGTGTCATTGTGTCGTGGTTGAAGGAGCGCTACCGAGAACTCTCCGACATACTCATCGACGACTTCCTCGGCAGCGAACATCCACCTCGGCAGTCTGTGGCCCTGACACTGGTTCTGCGACTGGTCAAGGAGGAGGCGAAGTCACAAAAAGACTACAAGATTAAGAACGGGCCGCTGCCGAGACTGATCAGGGTGCTGCTATGTCTCCCGCTAGACGATCTGAACCGCGAGGAATTTGCGGAGAAGTACCTGAAGCAGTTCGACGATATCCGATACCAGACCTTCCAGACCATCAAGTAAGCACATACACATACCAAGTCTCATGACTACCACTAACACATCCAGGGATGTACTTGACAGTGAGCTCGACATTACGACGCGCCAACTCGTAGCTGCGAACAGCCTGTCCCTCCTATTCACACTTACCGAAGTCCCCAAATCCAAGACCGACATACAAAATTTCTACGTACAGGTGCAAGGGAAGAGCCCGATACCGTCCCTCCAAGCATACAAGGAAAAGGCACAGGCAGCGTGGTTAGCCACGATGCGCACAGGTCTCTCCAAGGAGCAGCGCAAGTCTATCCTGCACAACTTTTCTCACCAGATTGCGCCGTGGTTCCAGCAGCCTGAAATCTTATCGGATTTCTTGACCGACTCCTACAACGTGGGCGGGGCAACCTCTCTTCTGGCTCTGTCCGGAATCTACTACTTAATTTCAGAGAAGAACCTCGACTACCCGTCATTCTACCTCAAGCTGTACTCCCTCCTCGACGAAGGCCTCCTCCATTCCAAACACCGATCGCGTTTTTTCCGCCTACTAGACACCTTCATGTCTTCGTCCCATTTACCCGCCAACCTCGTCGCCAGTTTCATCAAGCGTCTCTCGCGATTAGCCCTCCACGGCCCACCCGCTGGTGTTGTCGTCGTAATACCCTGGGTCTACAACATGTTCAAGAGACATCCAGCTTGCACTTTCATGATGCACCGCGAGATCCGGGACCCGGCTCTGCAAAAGGAGCTGGAAGAGGAAGGCATGGACGACCCGTTCGACATGGAGGAGCTGGACCCTCTCCTCACAAATGCTATTGACAGCAGTGTCTGGGAGCTAGAGGCACTGCAATCGCATTACCACCCCAACGTTGCGACGCTGGCAAAGATCATCTCGGAGCAATTCACGAAGCGAGCGTACAACCTGGAAGACTTCTTGGACCACTCCTACACGGCGCTGCTCGATGTCGAACTCGACCGCGATCTGAAGAAGGAGCCAGAAGTCGAATTTGAGATACCCAAGCGCATCTTCACTGCGGATGAGGGGTTCAATATATTTGGACAGTTGTTGACGCAGGTTGTGGAGGCAAGGTAGTCGATGCATATATAGCTAGAATGATACCCGGAATATTCGCATTACTTAAGCAGCTTCCCGACCAACTCCCACACATTCATTCTGATTACATATGAACTCCCACACATGCAAACGTTCATTCGTCGGAATAAGGCGCCGTAAAACTCCCTCACCCGTCATCCAAGCATGAACATGTGGGGACACCTCTAGCTCCCTACCATCCAGCCAAACCACACATCTAGACACGACAATTCCAAACTCCGCCCTTTAGCTCTGCTCCAGGATGATAAAATTGGTTGAGACGCACACTGCACTTGACCGGTGCTAGTTCAGCCAACCTGCCAAGTGCCATTTTCATCGTTTTCTAGCTGCAAAGCTTGCCCACGTAGCGTTTTGGCTAGCGGTGTGGAGCTAATGCGCTGGGGGCAGCTCGTTGGCTCGGGGTCGCCCGCGCGCCCGCTGTCTTTCTCGTATTGCGCTGAGGGGAGGACGCGCGATAAGAGACGTACGTCGCTGTCGGAGGCAGCAGCAGGTAGAGTGAGGGTGGTCGTGTGGTCGCGCAAAGAGGGGAGCCAGGTCGCGTCTTGCGGGTTGACCGAGGCAGGGGCAGCTGGAAGGTCGGCGATTATCTTGCATGCGTTGGCGCGGTCGGTTCCAGGTACCACTTTCCTTTGCGCTGAGCTGCATATGTCGAGAGCTTTCACATGTGTCAAACAAGGTAGCCAGGAAAACTCTTCTGAACTACACGTCATGAAGATGGAGCATTGTTCAAGCGAATTCACAGGTGTGGAAGTAAAGTTTGGTTCAGGTCACCTCTCGGCGACTGATATCTCAGTTGAATTAACTATCTATACATGTCAAGCCATGTGTATGCATCCCCATTGGAACATTGTCGCATTAGTAGGATACATGAGAAGAAGAATCATTCGTAACCCCTAACCCCGACATGAATGTTCCCCGAATTAAAAATCCCCGCCATTGATGCTTGGAAATGTGTTGTTACTCCGTGTTGCTTTTAAACAAACATGCAACCCAATCGTGACTGAGTTGGTGGTATATCGTGAAGAAGGGGAAAGAAAGGGTGGTGGTGAGGCGCTTATGCGACGATGGCGGCACCGATGGCGAGGACAAGGCCACCGAAGGAGACCATGTTGCCAGCGGCAGCACCGGTGGACTCGGGGATACCGCCGCTCTCGGTAGCGCTGCCAGCGACGCCGGAAGAGGTCTCCTCAGAGGCGGGGGTGGAGGCAGTGGCGGACATGGAGCCGGTACCGGTTACCATGGTGGTGTTGGAGCCCATGGGGACGGACATGGAGCCACCAGGAACGACGGGAGTGGCGGTGGGGACAACGACGACCGAGGTGACGGAAGCAGTCTCAGTGACGGCGACTATGGTGTTGTTAGTATCGTGATGGACTGAGCAGAGTCGCAGAGAAACTTACCAGTGGAGGTCATGTCGCCAGAGGGGACCATGGAGCCGGAGGGCATGGGGACAGCGGGGATCTCAGAGACCATGGAGCCAGAGGGCATGGGGACGGCGGGGATCATGCTGGTGGCAGGAGGAGCCTGGATCTGACCGTCGGAGATCTGGGAGATGGGCTGGACCTCGTACTGAGGAACAGCGGCGACGGCACCAGCCATGATGGCAACGGAGGCGATGGAGAAACGCATGTTGATGATGTGGGTTGGTAGTAGTTACTTGAAGATAGCGACTGTGTAGTGATCGACTCGTAGATTGGAGAGTTGAAGCGGGTGGAATCTGTTTGTGCGTTGGAGTGAGTGGATGAAGAAGAGAAAGGGAGGCAGCAAACGGGCTATCTATTTATTCGCCTGGAGCCGCAGGGCAACACACACGCAAGACTTGCGGCTGTTGTGTCGCAATGGGGTCGGGCGGACCCACAGTACCCAAAGGTGCCCTGTGCGCCCAGTGGACGTGGTAGGCAGAGTAATTGGAGAGGCTTTGCGCCCGTGTGTTTCGACAAGAGTAGAACAACCCAGCCCCGGCGCACAGACACGAGGCGAGTCCGCGATTGGCAGATGGACAAGCATCGTTCCAAGAATTTTATCCAAGTTGGCCCACTCGAACCGTTGGGCGAGGCTAGTCCCCTGCGAGAGAGCTTGTCATGCTGGTGAAAGCGGCCGAATTGCTTCGTTTTGATTGCCTGGGAGCTTCCATGTCGCTGACTACCGCCAACTTCGACGTGTAACCACCTGGGCAGCTTTTTCCCCTCTCCTAGACCGCCAGCCACACCAGCCATCGCCAACGCGCAAGCAGGCGAAAGAGTTTGACTTCAGAAGAGGGCCGTTTCGCAGTGCCACGCAACATCTCTCCACTGCTACTCGCTTGTGCGCACCTTATCGCGACGCCAGCAAACGCCTCCCGCCAGTGGCCGTGCGACTAGCAACCATAGTGCCAGGGGCAGGTCCGTCACCATTCGATCGCCTCAAGCCCGTCCATAACGCATGCAGATCGTTGCCCGGTACAGCTGGCGGCCCTATGCATCCCTCACGGTTATTGTTGGCAGCAGTTTGCCTACGCACCGCTGTCTGATCGTGTTTCGTCTGCTGGCCTGCGATGCAGCTTCGTTTTTACTATCCTTAGCAACAGGTGCCTGGGATTGCTCATAGCCATGCTCGGCAGCTGCATCGGTTTTGTTGAATCCCGTGATCGTGGGTGCGGTGACGCGTGTCCCTTGCCCTTGTTTTCGCTCTGGTCGCTAACGCGCAATCAATCAATCGATCAATGCTGCCAGCACTTCGGTCCTCTCCTTCCCTCTCCTGATGATCCATCCCCGTCCCTTGCAGCTTGCTTCTAAGTAAGGAACATTTGCCACCAACACTAAACCATCCGTTCCATGGCACGAGGAAAATCCGAGAATCTCGATTGAAACCCCTTGCAAACACAATATATTGAAACAAACAACGTGCAATCTGTACCTACATGTCGACGCATTCACCGGCAAATGCGAGCAAAAGGCTAAAGGGAATGAAGCGCACGGCCAGAAACACCCCAGTCCCCCCATCTCCGGACTTTTCACCAGCATGCAAGGACCACGCTCGTAATCTCGTTTCGCAACGACGATTGCTTGCCGCTGCCGTAATACGTGATAAGGATTCAAGGAGAAGGAGATCATGACGTCGTCATATGCTCTCCTTCCCATCTCGTGTTTGACGTATTCTCCATCTCGTCGCAACAACATGGTGAGGCTGGGTGCGCCGGCGCAACTACGGAAAGACGGCGATGGAAGCACACTGAAGGAGAGTGCCTGCAAATCTTGCGCCTGCAGATTGTTCGGCGAAAAAGCCGCGAAAGCTTTCGGGAAGATTCCTTTCACCCTGTCCACACGTCAGGTCCGACGCTACGACTTGCATTTGACATGCTGCACTTGCGCAGGTCCCAATGTCGTAGACATCTGCACAAGACACGACTGACACCAGACACCCAGCCTTGTTGCTGCGGTTCCCAAGCTGCCAACTGTACACCGGTGTAGCGCCGGCGACCCGAAGTTCAGGCAGCTGTCACCGCCAAACCGCCGCGCGCATCGTGGAGAAAAAGCGGGTGGGTGATAGTTGCCCGGGCTACCACCCAGCCTGCCCTTTTCCAATTACCACCGTCCTGCCACCATGGCTGACCGCTGAAACCAAGCGTGTACCGAAACCTGTGAAGGTTTGCGGTAAGGTTTCTTCATGTGCGCCGCCAACTGCAGGTGTCCGTCCGCCTATCTGCTGTGTCATCCCGAGGTGTCGCTCGTGAAACCAGAGGCTGTTGTTTGGGTTGCGCCCGGGGCTAGGCGCCGGTGGCTGTCTTGTTGGCTGGGTCGAACAGCCGAACAGAGGTTTTCTGTCCAAGCGACTGCTGTGCGTGCACAACTTTATGTATGCATGCTCAACATCGGTCACGACTGCACGCCGTGTATCAGAGAAGCTTAGCCGGGCGCGTTTATATTACTTCTGATCGAGTTCAACAATGCACCGAGATTCTGTCAATGTTTGCTTTTGCCGCGCCGCTCTCCTCATCAAACTCAACAACTCAAGCCGAGAATGGAAACGGTCTGGCTGGGTCCAAGAACATACTTGTCATAACAATCTTCATTATATGTATCATGGTACAACCTCTGCGTCGAGCGCAAGACGATAGAAACGCCTTTGTAATGCTAAAAAGAACGATAACGCTAATAATCAACATTTTATCCATCGGATCTACAACGAAACTTCAAATTCGTAGCTCCACTAGAGCTGCTTCTCCCGCGTAATCTCATCCGCCGAGTCACTTTCCGACACCGTCTTGGGTGCCATCATGGGCTCAGGGCCGTGGGACGACCCAGGGGTGGTACGCTTGAAGTAGTTGTGCACGTCAGCGTGATCGTCCTCGTCCGCCTCAACACCTTCCCAACCGTTCTTCTCGGAGAACTTGTGTTGTTGGCGTTCGACCCAGTCTGTGCGCATCTCAGCGATCTTCTGCTCGTAGTCGAGCTTGGCATCGTAGTCCTTGTGCTGGCCGCGGAATCGCTCCCACCAGGACATGTGCTTCCAGTGGACGGCAATACCGTGGTAGTCGTGCTCCTTGCCGGCGCGAATGTAAGCCCAACGACGCTCCTGCTCCTTGAGATCCAGACCAGTGGTGTCTGGGAGGAAAAGCAGAGTAAGGAGAGCACCGACGAGACCGAACCAGGGGACAAAGTAGAACTTGGTCTGGGTGTCGATGTAGTTGTACAGGACGGCAGCGAGCAGGGCACCCGCCTTACCGCAAGCAGCGCTGAATCCGTGAGCAGTGGCGCGGACGGGTGTGGGGAAGACCTCAGCAGCGACGAGGAAAGTCACACTGTTGGGTCCGAACTGGTTGAAGAAGGAGGACAAGAAGTACATGGCCTGGAAACCGTGAATGTTCTCGGGTTTGGTGAAGTATTCAAAGGCGAAACCGGGAATCATGAAGAGGACGAAGTCAGCCAGGAAACCAACGATCATCATCCATTTGCGGCCGTACAACTTGTTGTCGATGAGCAGGGAAGCGAGGTAGTAGC